AAGGTCCAAAATGACCTGCAGGAGAAGAAAAGGTTTTTGGAAGATTATGCTCAGGTGAAACTGGAGCTTGAGCAGCAGATCAGGAAGCTGCGCGCCCTTGCAGACAAGATTGACAAGGTGCACAGGGACTGCACCATCACACAAGTGGTGGCCAAATCTACCGGTGCTGTGTCCGGAGTCCTGACGATCCTTGGTCTCGCTCTGGCACCTGTGACAGCAGGAGTCAGTCTGGGACTTTCAGCCATAGGCTTGGGGCTGGGGGTGGCAGCAGCAGTGACTAGTGTTTCTACAAGCCTTGTGGAAAAGGTCATCATGGCGAAAGAGGAAGCTAAAGCCAGCCAGCTGGTGCCAACCAGCAAGGACCAAGAGGAGGTCATTAAAGAAGTTTTGGAGGAGAGTACACCTGTGCTTGTTTCTGTATATAAGAATTCCTTCCAGAACCTGGAAGACATCAAGAAGAACATTGATGCCATCAAGCTGGCCAAAGCCAACTCTCACCTAAAAACTAATGCCAAGCGTCTCATGACCACAGGGAGGGTGTCAGCTCAAAACACTAAAAAGGTAGAGAAAGCCTTTGGAGGCACAGCTCTGGCAATGTCCAAAGGAGCCCGGATCACGGGTGCAGCCACCACAGGTCTCTCCATCCTGATGGATGTGGTCAGCCTTGTGGAAGACACAAAGCATTTGCAGGAGGGTGCGAAGACAGAGTCTGCGGCAGAGCTAAGGCAGAAGGCTCAGAACCTGGAGCAGAATTTGCAGGAGCTCATCCGGGTCCATGACAGCCTGACAAAGTGACCACTTCTTCAGTGCAGCTCAGAGGACTGGGGATAGGGGATGCTCTAGACACCTACCTGATAGCCCCTGTCTGTATCCCCTCTACAGCAATGTCACCATGGTGGAAGTGCCTGCTAGAGCGGGAGGCCACATTAAGAGAAAGGAAGCCAGAACACAGATGGGACAGGCTTGGGACCTCCCACTAGACTCCACCTCTTAGATCCAGCATCCTCCCAATATCCCACATGAGGACTAAGCTCCCAAGCTGTGGTGCACATCTAAGGTCTGACTTAACCTCAGCATGGCTGCTCCTCAGTCATGCCCACCACACTGCTCCTAGCTGAGGCTCATCATCCTCACTGTCCTCGGAGCTGCCAACTTTCATACTGCTTTCTGATTGGTTGCATAGAGGCCTTATTCTCCTTCCTAGATCTGCCTAATTCTCTGTTTTTCCAAGTATTTCCAAGTCCTGCAATCAGACTCTGGAAGGAACACCATTTCTGTGTTCATGATTTTGGTCATCTGGAGTGATGGGTGTGTTGGTGAAATGCTCAGAGAGTAGAAAGGGAAGGATGCTGGGAATGTCATCTGCACGGTCATCACAGCTTCTTGGTCCTGTGAGCCAGCCGTGGGTCCAACAAGGAAGGAGAGGTGACAGTGTATGGCTGGTCAGTTCTGCTCCCTGCTACCAGATTCGGGGAAATCACAAGGTTTAATTCCTATTGACTTTTAAAATCTGCTGTGATACTCATTCAGGGCTACACTTGGTCCGTAGTATTTGAGGAGAAGACTAGTGAACACTGACTGATCATGCTTTGTGTGTTTTCTGCAAATGATATCCTGTGTTTTCTAGATTGTTGACTATAAAGTTGATCATTTCCTCCTGATTTTTATCATCTCCTCTTTTAAAACCTGTTTTCTTTCTTGTGGTTTAACAAGAATATTTGAAATTTAGACAAGAAGCATTTCCTTCTCTTTGCTGCCCTCCCCTTCTGGCCGCAGATGCTCCCCTAGGCTGCAACACCGAGTGGTGTCCCCTCCTCCCTTACAGATCAAGCGCCTTCCTCCCAAGTTCTCACCAATGGAGACTGACAGATGACCTGTGCATAGCCTAGGTCTTGTCCTCTAGAGGAACTTTCTTGTGTTCCAATGCCCCTTCTGTCCTTCCTAGACTGGAATGTCTGCCTAAGGGAAAGCTGGATGTGGACAGAACTATCTCCCTGGGATGCAGAGCAGGAACAGAACGGAGTCCTGGAAAAACTTAGGAAAGAAAGCTACCTGTGTCCTGAGCTGCCTAGCAACTTGCTCCTAGTGTCCAAGTTGAGTCCTCTCTACTGTTGAGCCCATGTGCTGTGTTGGTGAACTCTGTGCCAGCTGCTCAGCATCTGTCCCTTAACTAACTCAAGAGCCATCACCAGAGCTCACCACACCCTTGACCTTGAACCCTGTACTCTTTCCTGACTGTCAGTCTGGCCCTTTGGGACATCATTTATTGAAGAGTCTGTCCCTTTGTCCTTGCACTCCTCCAGGCTCTCAGGCCTCTGTGAACCACTGCACCACAGCCCTTTGAATGAATGACCACTAGGTGTCCAGTGCTCAGTGTCCAGATAGATCCCTGCAGCCTTCCAGTCCAGGGCCACCTCACCCCCACAGTTCTGCCCACCTAGGAACAAACCTTCCTTTATGAAGGAGACAAACAAGCCATGGTGAGTGTGGGGGGAGAATGGAAACGGCCTATTGTCACTTCTTGTAGATACAGCATTACTTTATGGGTGTTGAAGTTATCCTAGTAGGCACCAGAATACTTGAAAAAAAGAGGTACATCTAAAAAGAACTTAAAATGAATTTATGTGATGTAATAATGTGTCTCAAGTTTTGAAGTTGCTCTTAACAAAAGAAAAGGCTATGGAAAGAGACTAGAGAAGTCTCAGAGATAAGTAGAGGCCCCTGAAATGGACAAGAGAGATGGACAGTTTGTAAAGAAGAAAAGTGCTGAGGAGGGGCTGTGACCATGTCTGTCCCTGACAAACACAAGTGACAGACAACAGGACTGTGTCTGTAGCTGCTGCCTCTGGAGGGGTACTGCATTCAGTTCAGTCTCTGAGGGTGTCCTGGGATATGGGCAAGACTAGGAGGGTCCTCATTTTGAGCTGTGATTCCTCAGCCACAAATAAGGGAAGAATTAATGGTGTCCACACCATTGCAGATGGATGTCAATAGCACGTGCTTAGTCAAAACAGAGCCAGTTGTAATGGGTATAACATCTGTGATTTCTGTTATGAAAATAAACTATGAAATGAACAATGGTGAATGATGTAGAGAGTTGGGTGGTTACTTTTGGAATATGGAAGATACAGAACCCTGAGAGATTAACACCAGGACGTCATGTTGTGTGATAAAATATTCTTGACCTTGAGTGACAAGGGCACTATGAACCCATGTCTGTGGTGAATAATCAAGGACGACTGTGAACACATGGAAATGACACAGTCAGATCAGTGGAGTTGCAGTGTGTGCTGAGGTCAAGCTCATTGGGCAGGCATGGCAAAGGAAAGCAGTTCACCACATGGCAGCCAGGAAGCGACAAGGAGTGAGAGGAGGAGACCCAGCCAAGATGAAGCAGTCTGTGACATGCTCAGAGTGACCCACTGTCTCTAAAAATACCCCACTTCCAAATAGACCTTTCAGAATGTTACTAGTCAATAAGTTAAACCACTCTAGTCAGAACCTTTCCAAGCAATCTCTGCAAAGAGACACAGAGAGGCTAAGTAACAAGGAGGGCGCTAGGAGAGAGACATAGATCTCTGTGGGAAGGGGAAATAGAATAGATTTGTGAGTGGATTTGAGGGCAGGTGGAGATGGGAACAGGGGAGATCCGGTGGGAGAGGGAGGGGTGAAGGAGAGAGTACTAGGAGAGATGGCTGGAATAGGGGAGCATTTAAGTGGCAGAGTGGAAACGTAGAGCAGTGGAAACTTCCTGGAACCTATGAGGGTAACCCTCGAAAGGCCCCCTAGTAATGGAGAACATGCAGCCTAAACCCGCCATCTTCTATAACAGGCAAGGCCCCCAGTGGTGGGAATGGGACACCAATCCAGCCACAAATCTTTGACCCATGCCTGTCCTGCTGGCAAGATGCACTGGGACAGTGGTGGCTCAGAGTTTGTGGGTGTGGACAACAGGTGACTGGTCTAACTTGAGGCCCAAGCCACAAGAGGGAGCCCATGCCCAACACTGCCTGGATGGGCAGGAACTGGAAACTACAAGGCTCATAGACCTAGGATAGAACCAAACCCGACTGCCACAAAAAAAAAAAGCAGTGAGCTGATTCCTAAGGACAGTCTGCTATACTCACAGGACCAGTGTCTACCCCTATTGTCATCAGAGAGGCTTTCCCAGCAGCTGATGGGAGCAGATGCATAGGCCCACACCCAAACATTAGGCAGAGCTCCTGGGACCCTGCAGAAGAGGGAGAGGAAGGATTGTAGGAACCAGAGGGGTCAAGGACACAGGGGAACACAGCCCACAGAATCAACTAACCAGGGCTCAAAGGGCTCACAGAGTCTGAAGCAGCAATAACAGAGCCTGCATGGGTCACTAAGGTCCTCAGAGGACATGCTATGGTTGTTTAGCTTGGTGTTTTTGTGGAGTCCTAACAGTGGGAGAGGGGGTGTCTTTGATTATTTTTTTCCTGCTTGTTGCACCCCTTTCCTCCTACTGGGTTGCTTTCAGCCTTGATATGAGGGTTTATGCCCAGTCTTACTGCATCTTGTTATGCCTTGTTTGGTTGATATCACTGGGAGGCCTTCTCTTTCTGGAAGGGAAATGGAGGAGCAGTTGATCTGAAGGAGAGGGTAAGTATGGGGACAGAGGGGAACTGGGAGAAAGGGATGGAGAGGAGGCTGTCATCAGGATGTATTATATGAGAAAAGAATAAAGTTTTAAAAGAAAAAAATAGATTTTTGAATACATATTGGACCACCACTGTAAGCATTGTGGGGTGTGTGTATGTGTGTGTGTGTGTGTGTGTGTGTGTGTGTGTGTGTGTGTGTGTGTGATTCCTACTGCGGGACCAACATCTCCACCATCCAGATCACCTGATCTGTGGACTGACACTGAACGCTTATATAATAACTTCTCTCCACAACCTCTGCAAACACCACTGGTTCCTCCCTGCAGGTTCTGACTTCCCCATCGGACTCTCGAAGGAGATCTGGAGCATCTGTCCTTCCATGTCCAGCTTATTTGATTTATGCTGATGTCCCCAGGCTTCATCATGTTGGGGAGGGGTGTCAGAATTTGCTGCCACTTAATGCTGAGAGGTTTTCCATTCGACACACTGTCACATTCTCGGGTCTGTTCATCTCAGGATGAACATCCAGGCTGTGCCATTGACTGGATCAATCTTGTCGCTGTGGATGTGGGAGAATGGACATCCATCTGTGTCTCTGTTTTCCTTGTTGCTTCTGTACATTGACTCAGAAGTGGACTGGCATGATGATGTGGTTCTGTATATTTGGGGTGATCCGCCACATGGTTGCAGGGGATGTCAAGACTTTGCTATGACATAACAGTGACACCTGCCAACTCTCTATGTCTTCTAACTCAGGGTACAGGGGGGTAGACTGGACGGTACCTTTAAAACTTGCTGCAGAGCTGCCTGGTGATGTGACTTTCATACCCATAGTTAACTTGTTTTGATTTGTTTTTCATTAGATTAATGGTAGCCACCACAGCCATTAGATAAGTGGTCCATCCTGTGGCTACAGAGTCCAATTGTTTGGAAGGGTATGTCACAGGGCATTTACATGGCCCCAAAGTTTGAGTTAGAACGCCTTTTGTAATGTCTTTTGTTTTGTGGACAAACAGATGGAAAGGTTTGAGACATCCAGAAGTGCTAGGGTTGGAGCTGAAGTCAGAGCTGTTTTTAGAGATTCAAATGCCTCTTGGTCAGTGTCTGTCCAGATTAGGGGGTCAGTGACCTCCCCACCTTGGGCTGAGGCCTTGCTATTTCCACGGACTCTGGTACCCAGAGGCAGCAACACCTGTCCACACCTAAGGACTCTCGAACCTGCCTCTCAGTCTTTGGAACTGGGATCTGAAGGACGGCAGCAATCCTGCTCTGAGACAGGCTCTTTTTCTTCCCTTCAGCACATAGCCAAGATAGGTAGCCTCTGATGTACAAACTCGGCCTTTCTTGGGTGACATTCTGTGGCCCAAGGTCTTTAACTCTTGCAGCAGTCCCTCACTGGCCCTTTTATAATTTATTTTAGCTTTAGAGACCAGGAGGAGGTATGGTAAGAGTATATATTATAAGAGTGTGGTCCCAGGAAACCTCAGATGGATGAACAGGAGGTCAGCATTTAATGTCTCATCAGATAGGGTTGGAGAATTTTCAAAACCTTGGGACAACTTGATCCAGGTAAGTTGCTCACTGTTACCTCTCTCTGGGTCTGTCCATGTAAAAGCAAAAATGAGTTGACTCACCTCTGCCCATGGGAGACTGAAGAATGCATCCTTCAGGTTCAAGACTCTATACACCTATTTCTCCAGAAGATTGAGACTTACAAGAACCAGAGGACCTAGGTTTCTTCACAGGCAGGAGAGGTGTGTTCCAGGGTGACTGGCAGGGCACCAGGATGCCTGTTTCTCTAAGCCTGGCATTGTAGACCACAGCTTCCCTTTTTGTTTCCAGGGTCACTGGGTGATATTGAATCTGCAGGAAAGTAGATGAGCTGATTAGTTGAACAATTACAAGAAGTTGGTGTTTGGCCAGAGGGGGGGGGGGTTGGTTTCTGCCCATATCCCTAGGAATTGTACATCTGAGAGATAGTCCAAGCATATCCTTCGACGAGGAGATATTCTTCAGGCAGAGTGGAAGACACCAACATTTTGCTGGGCATGTGTAAGTCTAACTGTGTCTCATCATCAGAGAAGGTGACTGTGGCTTTCAGTTTATGCAAAAGTTCTCATCTCTCAGTCTGTTCTCTGTTGATGTAACCAACCATCTTATTAAATAAGAAACACAGAAACAATGTAAAAGAGAAAGCCAAGAAGTCAGAACTCAGAGCTAAAATCTCACCCTTCCTCCTGCTGTGTCCCAGCTTCCCGAAAGAGAGCTATTTCCTTGTGTGTCAGTCGGTTCAAAGTCATTCTGCCTTTTCATTGGTTGTAAACCCAAACACGTGACTGCCTCGTCACTGTCTGAATGTACAGCTCCCTAGGTCTTAAAGGCGTATATCTCCAATGCTGGCTGTAT